ACAAAGTGCCACCTCACTGTGAAAGGCTGGATAACAGGGGCTGCACCAGACCACAGAGAGAGCTCTTGGGAAGAGCTATCTCAGACCCCTGCAGCAGCACCAGAGTGGGGTGCATCATCCAGCCTGGGTGGGGTGGCTGATGAAGCACTGGGTACCCCCACTGAACTTGATTCCCCTTCCAAATCTTCCCCTCAATCCCTGTCAGTGCAGACTACTTCCTAGCCTGGGGGGCCCCCACCCTAGCACGCCCCAGGAGGGGGGCTTCTAGCTCCAGAATGTGCTTAAAGCGTTGTTGACGCCTCCACACTCAGACTATTGTCATTCTTGTATACATAAAACTATTCTCATTAAAAATATCATAAAAATATTAGAAGAATTGCTCTGTTTGAAGAAGATTAATGAGGACCATCTGAAATTATTAACATTTTCCACTTTAAATCAATGACGTTTCACCACCTTGTCTTCTGTAGACAATGTGAGTGACTTCAGCTGACCAGCAGCTTCATTTCTTTACAATAGAATTTCCTTTTCCTCTGAACACTCAGAACACATCTCATTATCATGACCAGATAACACTGCTCAGTTTCTATGTGCTAATGCTAAAAGCACGACAGCACACACAGCATTGTGAGTTTGAATAAACTGATGTTATTAATTTTCTCCACTGATGATTACTGAAATCTACATGTTCCCCTATTCTGTTCACCATCATCAGTGATTGCAACATTAATGTTAATGATAATAAACTCTTACACTTGTAAAGGACCTTTAGTCCATCATTCTTCAATGACTGCTTGTCATTGTCAGCTCGCTGATGCTATTTGCTCAGCTTGCAGAGCTGCTTCTGGATCAGATTCCTCCCTGTTTTATATTTCAGTCTCAGAATCAGATCCTAGCACAACAGTGCTGCTCTGACAGGCCTTGTAAAGATCAGAGCAGCATTGCACAAACACTTTCATTAGCTGTAGTGATAAATGGAGCTTAGCTTTAACTTTAACAAGGAGATGAAAATATGGACTGGACACAATAAGATTACAAGAAACTTTTAAAAATAAAATCATTAAATGAACAGTGTTTGCAAAAAGTGGTACAGCGTCAAGCCCATCGAATGACATCTAATGTGGACAAAATAAATGGGTGACTATTAGCATAGGAGGAGCAAAAGTTGTTGAAAACTGCACTTTTTTTTAATGCTTCTTCTTTATTACATGCAAAAACAAGAAGGTTGTGTAAGTAGCAGAGTAATGTCAGAAAATTCTGGTCCCCGAATATGTTCATCATGAAAAGCATGAAATTTGTTGGATTTCTAACCTTGCTTGCCTACACCTTGAGGGGGAGCCTGTTAAAATCAAGGAGACACATAAGTGTTGTGAAACCTGTCAGTCTTCTTCAACCATTTCAATGTTGACAAATCCAGATCTCTGATCCACTGCACAGAATATGCCATGGACATCTTTAACTGGACGAGTGTTTATCCAGCAGTAATCTACACACATGCACAGATCTCCATCTTTCATCCACACAAGCAGACAGGCCCAGCCACTGCAGGATTTTCATATGGTTTCTTGTTCCTCCATCTCTGAAAGTCCTTGCCTCAACTTCTGGAACTGTCCTGGAGGAATGCGGCAGTATAGTAGCCTGAATGGCTGATAATCTGACAGGTGGATACGGTGAACAAATTCCTTTACCTTCACACAATGTAGATTATTTTCATAGTTCTGAACCATCTGCAGCAACTGATAGTTCCAGTAGAATAACACTTCACAGGATTAAATGTCCAAATCACTTAGATCAAGCTTCTGTAAACTGTCCTGGAAACTGAAATCCTAAATATGAGGATATGAGGAAAAGAGAGAATGAAGAGGAGGAGAAATGAAGAAATGAGGGCCTTTTAGAAATTCTTTATAAATCTGAATGTCTGACTGAACTGTGTTCTTATAGTGACACTTACTGCAAGTGTGCCGTACACATCACAGGACCTGGACATGAGATCAAGAGCTGTGTACGTGTCGTCCTTGGCATTGGGGTCAACATTCTGGTGAGACAAGAATATAATCAGTTTAAGAGCTCGCTGACAAACATGAAGTGCATTTAACTTGCAAAGCAAAAGTCTGGAACAGTTGCTTAATGAAGGCCAATGGAATAATTGTAAAATATTTTTGGAACATCACTGCTTGCTTCCATACTTTTATTCTGTAATGTTCATGATGTGTTTTTTGTGTGAGGAGGTGCTGAGACTGAATCACAGACTGTGTTGGAGTGCCAGATGCATCTTGGATCACTACTGCCATCTAGAGATCTGTAATGACTCCAGCTGCTGGAGTTCCTCTACAATGCAGAGTGTAGTGTTTACTCTGCAATAACCCACTAAAGCAACTCAACAGGTAAGAAACAACCTTTAGGAGTTTAACCAGATGAGTTACAGCAGCACAAACACTAAACTGTGCAGTTCAGCTTCAATAGCTTTAACAGCTCACCTGGTAGTCATCTTCCTCCATCGTTCTCTTCTTCTTTTTCCTAATTTCAGAGAAGAGTTAATAAGGACCTCAAATGATTCATCAACCTGTATAACATTCAATTATATTTTCAGTCCTTTGTGCTGTTGCTACATGAAAGAAAGGCAAAGAATGTATATCAAAATAACATACATGCAATACATGGATTATGCTCACACTTATGCTCATTCTTACCACATTAAGAAAATGACAGCAAAAAACGATGCGCATAGACAGAGTCCGACTCCAACCACCACATACAGAATTATGGAGCGTTCTGCTGAGACACATGAACAAAAAAAAACAGAGCAAATGTTTTATCTATCCTATCAAACAGCAACAGTTCTGTCAGTAAACATGTAACGTAATGAAATATATAATTTTCTATGTATACCTTTTAAAGTGTCTGGCAAAGCAGCTGATTTTTGAGACCCGTATTTATTCTGAGCCACACAGTAGTATCCACTGCTTTTAGAGACAAAGGTAAAGCTGTAATTTTGTCCAGATCCTACAGGTGAGCTTCCACCTTCTTTAAACCAGGTGTAGTTCTGCACAGGTGGGTTTGCATCACTGCTGCAGGTCAGATTCACTGAACTGCCCTCCCCTATTTCACCAGAGGGACTGATGGACACTGAGACACTTCTTGGAGGATCTAAAATTTAGGGAACGGGAGTGGGTGAATTAATCAGGATGTGGTGTCTGTGGTTTTTTGCACACACTTTCAGGAGGTAAAGTTTTACTGGGTAGTTTGAGTGGTTTATAATTCCAAAATGCATTCAGGAGTAAACTAAAGTGAAGGGAATTGGTCAAAAACGGTTTTTAGTTTGTCAGACATTTCTCACATTTAACCAAGCCTCTACTGTGATTTTCTCATTACATGTTTGAATGCAGTCTAAAGCACCTGTGTCCTTGCAGACCAAAACACAGCAGATTTCAATACACTGCCTCATCAAACACACCTGATTCAGCTGATCAGCTAATTAGCAAGGCCTTCTTGAACTGAATTCAGAACATCAGATGGGGTTAAACACTACTCTCCACAGCACATTGGTCCCCTGGTCTAAGGGAAATTACATACCTGGTCTAAGGGAAATTCCTTAACATAACTTAACATAAACCTACCTACCTAACCTGCCATTTCTGTAAAAACTTTAAGGAATCCTACGAAGAGTAATTTGTATGTCATAAAAGTTGGACAAATCTGTGATCTTTTTTACATGACTTTGAGGAATAAAGGCCAATGGCTTTTGACTTAGTACTTATAAATATGGACAAAAATATATAAAAAATATATATACAAAAATGTTTTAAAAATGTAATTAATAGGAGGAAAAAGTATTCAGATAAAACAAATCAATAACATTAGAACTTGGTGGAAAGCTGCTGTTAACAGTTACAGCTTTGAGACGTCTACATTCAAGTAATTTAAATGGGCATCGTCAATTATCCAAGGTTATGAGGCTCTTTGATGGACTTCAAAATCAAAATTCAAAATCCTCTATACATTCTCCTCTATACATTTTAGGACTGAAGTCAGGAGATCGGCTGGGCCATGCAAGCATCTTCACCTTTTTTTTTTCAGAAACCACTCTTGAATCATTGTCTTGATGAAACGTTCATCTTTGCCTCAGATTAAGTTCCTTAGCAGATGAGATTAAATTAAATTTGTCCCAGTACATCCTGCCATTCATGTTTCCTTCAGTGACCTGTAATGCCCTGATACTGTTTGCAAAGAAGCAGTCCAAATATCATGATGCTCCCACCTCCATAGCTCACTTTGGTTGTGGTGTTTTTGGGGTCCTACGTGCAACCTTTCTTTCTCCAAGCATGACAGACTGAATTACTGCCAAAGAGTTGTATTTTTTTCTTGTCTGACCAGAGTATGTTGCTCCAAAAGAGTTCAGATTCTCATTCTCATGCACACATTTTAGACACATATCTTTGTGCTTCTTTTCTAGAAGAGGAGCAGAAGGTTGTAGGAATGGAGATGATTGTGGAGCAGGTTTTACTTATTGATCTCTGTGTAGATGGAAGCTTTAGCGAGAGTTCTGCCAGGAAGACTCCAATGCTATGTTATTCATTCATCCATTTCTCCTGACCAATTTCTGACGTACACCTGTCTTTAAAATGACTCAACTTTCAGACCTTTTCTGCTACTTTCAGGTGCCGACATTCCAATTTTCTATCCGATTGTCTGAGGTTTGGCCTCCACCCCTGCCATCTTGATCCAGCAGGACCTGTGAACATCAGGACACTCCAAGACCTGGACACAAGGATAGGGCCTATGCTGAAGATGCGTGAATTTCTACTGAATTTTTATTTTTCAACTTGTAAAATCCTATCAAGGATTAAAATTGTCTTCCTTTACTCCTGCTTCATGAGTCTTCCTGGTAGAACTGTTGTTCCTGCTGCTTTCAGGTTGTCCTGCAACTCTATTCAAGATGCTGCTTGCTTTCTCTCTAACCTTCCTTACCATCAGTCTGAGAGTGTGTTGAGAAATCTTGCATGCTGCACCTGTCCAGGGACGATAAGCTGTGGTTCCATGACCTTTCCACTTGCATATTATCAAACTAATGGTACTGACAACAATGTTTAATGTCTTCGCTATAGTTGCTATAAGTTTTTCAATTTGAGTCTTGCTTAACATTGTTGTGTCTGAGAACTTTAGGTAACTTTAAGAATTCAGATTAAATCAGTTTGTATCTCTTTTAGCGGATTGCTTCTCAGATTTATGGAAAATGGCCAAGAGCATGGCTTCTGGAAATTTCAGATTAATTTTTTTAATTTGAAAATCCAGCATTTTTCTTTTTACAGTTTTACTGCATGCTGAAAAATAATGAAATTATGAAGAAGCACATCTGCTATGTTTTTATCAGACTTAGCTGTTCCTATTCATTCCCTTTTGAGAAAATACAGGTTCAAAAATACAGATTAGTTTAGTTTTGTAATTGGGGAATCTATAGTGTAATTTTAAATATAGCACTCAGAAATTAACAATATCAAAAAAAGGTGGAATAATAATAATAATAATACTGTGCAAATTAGGAATTAAGCCTCTAATGTCATTTTCTGGACTTTTTAATATGTGTTTGTGTTCAGTCTCACAAAATGACAATGATAAAATATTGATATTCAATAAACATTTGATACACGTTATATTTTTATGTAGAAAATTCAAGAGAACTGCTACAAAACAGATTGCATAACTGGAACAAGTAAACACACACTTACACAAAACATTCAGAGTTACAGCTTCAGAGTATTTCTCTCCATGTTCATTACTGGATCTGCACTTGTATTCTCCACTGTCCACAGAGCTGATGTTGTTCACTGTGTAAGTCTCTCCTTTTGCTACTAATGATGTTCTTTTAAACCAGGTGTAGTTCTGCACTGGTGGGTTTGCATCACTGCTGCAGGTCAGATTCACTGAATTGCCCTCCACTATTTCACCAGAGGGACTGATGGACACTGAGATGCTCTTTGGAGGATCTAGACATCAGAGAACAGCAACGGATGATCTGACCGTCACACGAACAGCAACACACAATAATAGCAGTGGGTGATCGAATCATGAAAGGACATTACAGCTTTAAAAAATAGAACCACCAAAATTTTGTATTGACTGGTGCTAGATGCTTGTGAGACTAAGAAGGCTAACAAGAGGCACATGCTCAGAACAGAACAGGGACTTGTTATTGTTACTGTAGTTGTTTATTGGTTGGAGGTATGTATATGAGTTTATTGTGTTATTCTGTGTTGGGTTGTTAGTGTGTTTTGTGTGTGAGAGGGAGTCACTGGTAGCATGAAGCCTGTGGTTAGTGGTGACCTCCCCTGTGAGTTCAAAGCTTTGTATGTGCTTTTCTACCCTGGTGTTTAATGAAGAGCATTTCTCATGGTGGAAATCATGGGTTTCCCCGTGTTTTACTCTACGCCGGCGCCATAATACACAAAATGTACTCACACAAAACACTCAGTGTTAGAGCTTCAGATTGTTTCTCTATGTAGCCATTACTGGATCTGCACTTGTATTCTCCACTGTCCACAGAGCTGATCTTGTTCATTGTGTAAGTCTCTCCTTTTGCTACTAATGCTGCTCCTTTAAACCAGTTATATTCCACAGGTGGGTTTGCATCACTGCTGCAGGTCAGAGTCACTGAACTGCCCTCCACTATTTCACCAGAGGGACTGATGGACCTGAGACACTCCTTGGTCCATCTAGAGGTAGATTAACATGTTAGACGTTATGGAGGTGCTTTTCTCATTAACATTATAAGCAACGCAGGTATCTCACATCAGATTCAACGTATTGTTAATATTGCTAACGTTGTTGCAGTTGTAGATTTGAATTTTACCAATTTATACCATCAAAATGAAATATTGTTTCGTTGAAGACTAACAAATAATTACTATTATCTATCTATTATCTATAATTACTATATCTATCTATTATACTATTATTATAACCTATTAGATATGCATTTCATCATTGGACTTCCCTAGAAAGTACATTAAATATTGTATTTGGTCAATACTTGCCAGGCAGAAATGGACAGTAATTCAGCAATCAAACAAACAAACAAATAAACAGATGTAAACAATATTTATTTGTCTCAATACTATAAAAAACACCAGTGCAAATGTTTTATGATAATTCAAGGAACACTTCAGGTTGTTTTTTAGTCAGGCTTAGATTGTGTTCAGCCTCAGTAAAAGGGTATGTGTGCTGCCTCTCTAAGTACATGATGTTAATAATGAGAAATATCTATATTTATTGCATTTACTGATTGATATAATTTAATCACGAACAGTTCAGCATAAACTCTGAGCTTTGTTTGTTTTCTGAGGCTGAATAAATGAATCTGTACTTACATCTGACATTAAGAGTGACCTCAGGAGAGCGAAGGTTCTGACTCCATACAGCACAGTGATACCTGCCTGCATCCTCCCTGCTGACTGGCTGCAGGTGGAGCTGGTCAGTACTGGAGGATAAATGATGTCCATTTCTGTACCAGGTGAATGTTGGTCTGACTGTAAGTCTGCAGGTGGTTTTACATGTGAGAGTGATTTTATCTCCCTCTATCACTCTCTCAGGAACCTCCACCTGGAGATCTGAGAAGCAGAGAAAACAACCTCACACTGTGGAGACTCACACTAGCTGAGTGAATATTTCACTGCTGTCTTAGAATTAAACTTGAAACTACTTGCAGCTCAGTTTGGGCTTCAATCCACAACTATCTAATTATTTTTTCTGAATTCTGGTTCTCCAGTTCTAAGCAGTGTGTTTCTCAGGTGTTCTATAAAGGATGGATGTAATTATATTACAGAACTGCTTTGTAAATCCTGAACACCAATGAATGAAGTACAGTGTCTTATTTCTGCTGATGGATCTTACCTGTGACTGAAAGATCAACTCCATCTTCACCTTGATACTTTCCTCCAGATGTGCGTGTTATGAATCTAAAGTAGTATTTACTTTGGTCCTTTTCCCTCACATCACTCAGTCTGAGAGTGCAGTAGCTGAATTTATCTCCGAGGTACTGAACTCTGCCTCTGTACTCTGGATCAGCTAAAAGATCAGGTGGTTCTGCACCTCTAATCCAGTATTTGGTCCAGAAAGCTTTTTGGACTGAAAGACCTCTTGGATATTTGTAAGTACATTCCATGGTCACTGTAGACCCCTTTAGAGCACAGATAGATTTAGAGTTGTAATTCACACTCCACACATACTGAGCAACAACTCCTGCAACACAAAATACAGAAATGTGTAAATTATTACTGTTTGGGTCTCAGTCAGTAAAAATGCTGCATAAAGTCTCCACTTCAGCTCATTTCTAAGACTGTTCATTTCAGCTGAATTTGAATAATCAGCTGTAATAATCTGAGCTCATTTGGAGATAAAAGCACAAAGTGAAAAGCTCCACAGGTCTTACAGTAGTGTGTGTGTTTAAGAACAAAACAGATAAGTAGAAATTAACACACAGCAGAGAATTCTCAACTCTATACTCACAGCTGTCCAGATTATCTTACATAAAATAAAGTTTAAAGTGTGCAGTTTCTATTTCACATTTTGACACTGATGAGAAGTAACAGCTCTGACTCACCTGAGATGAAGAACAGAAACAGGAGAGAAACATCAGTCAGAGACATTCTGAGTGAGATCATTACTGCTGCCTGTATGATGGCAAAATATGACAAAATACTGTTTATTTACAGTAATAAATAATGTTTCATGTTTCAACAACTTTACATCAAAGCTATTTTTATTATTGCAGACAAAGACCTATAAGAGTAATTTTTCTTCTTTTTCAAGATTTTTTTTTTATACTTTGAACAATAATTTACAGGCCTCATATTAGTTCTGTATCACTAATGTTATAAAAGCACACTTGACTTCATTATTTATTATTATTTATTACTATTAGTAATACTAATAATCATTATTATTATTAGTACTAGTAATACTAGTAGTAGTACGTGTATCATTTATTATTCATTCCTGTTACAAAATTATCACTCTAGGAACAATTTTTTAAATTGGAATTTACAAATGGGTCAATATTGTTATTTTATTAAGATTATACATTGCTCATATTTTAAACAGTACATTACAAGCATACAATGACTAAATAAATACATAAATAAATCAACAGCAGTACTGTGGTCAGAAACTGACCAAGGATGAATGACAGAGAGAAGACTGATAAACTGTGTGGAGACAGATGCGCTACAGTCAGTAATAAGGCATTTCTAACAAACTGGCAATTCAGTGGCAATGCAGTGTAAATAGTAAACAGAAAATTGTAATTTTGTGGTATGTGTACAAGGGCTGTCAGATGGGATCAGAAAACAAACTTCAATTTTCCCCATGTTTGTCAAATATCCGATCATTGAAAAAAAATGAAAAGAAAAAAACAATGTTTTTGCAAAGAACATAAACAGGATACATAACATCAGCAAATGCCAGATTTCTAAGTTAATGTTATGTCTCCTAAAAGCACAAGGGGGCACTTAGCATAAATTATCAAGTAATCCAAAAACCCACACACAGAGTTTAATTGGCTCGCAGCTTCACATTATACGTAACCCGCCTTATAATAAATTGCAATTTTTCCTTTTACTTGATGGTAGCAGCAGTACCATGAACTTGGTGCACCACACTGTATTAATGTAGTTAGCTGAAGTATAAGAGCCTTTTGTGTCTGACCAGATCTGAAAGTTAATTTACTGACTGACATTTAGTCATGAGTACAGACAAAAAGCACAGAACTAACAGTGAGAGCTGACAATTCCGATGTAATGGCTTTTTCATTGAGAACCACAGCAAGTGTGTGTGCCTCATTTGTCAAAAGGCTCTAATGAATTTAATGCCAAAAGACATTATGAAACAAGGAATAAATCTCCATATTCAGTGGACGAGAGGGCAGAAATGCTGAAGTTGCTGCTACTCCTCACACAGCAGCAACTTCTTTTCAAAACAAATTCACACACACAAAACTGCTTATCCTTCTGGGTCGCGGTGGGGTGCCGGAGCCTATCCCAGCTGTCATTGGGTGGAAGGCAGGATACACCCTGGACAGGTCGCCAGTCCATTGCATGTGACACAGGATTCTCAGAAATCCACCTATCTCCGTTCCAGAGTGCCTGACTTATAATCATCCACACCTGTTCCTTGTTTTTTGTGTTCGTTAGTCTAGTATATAAGCCCAAGCTTTAGCTTGGTCACTTTGTGAAGTATCTTCAATCCCATGTGCGTACTGAGTGTTTCCACTGTTCTACTATCTGCTACTTTGTGTATGACCTGTTTTCTGTTTGTGACCACAATTCTAGTCTTGCCCTTTTGTACTGTTCTGATTCTCTGGTTTTTGACCTTCTGCTTGTGTACACCAACTGTGAGTTTGGACTGTCCTTTTGATGCGAGCATCTGGTTCCGTCTGGCACCGTTACAGGATACTTCGCCACCATGCAGACGGCAGACGTGGAGGCGATTTAGAAGGTCCTGAGTAACCAAGGTCAGCTCCTGAGTCGTCACCAGCATGTTCTGGCAGATGTTACTCACTCTGTTGGCAACTTAACCCAGCAACAAGCCAAGCAGCAGGCCCAGCTAACTCAGCTTCTATCTGGGAACAAGGACATCGCTGCTCAACTGAGAGATCTCAAGGTGACCACACCTGCTCCTTCTGCTTCTACTCTGGTTTCCCATATTAACATGTCAGTAACTGTGAGTCAGACATCAACATTTCCAGTGAGTAAACCAGATCATTTTGATGGGTTTCCTGATAAGTGTTGGGGCTTTTTGTTGCAATGCTCAGTATATTTCAGTAATTCCCCTGCTAGTACTGATCAGGCTAAAATCGCCTTTATTGTATCACGTCTTTCAGATAAAGCATTAGAGTGGACGACTGCAAAGTGGTCTCGTTTACAAGACTTATGAAGAATTTTTGAAAGACTTCAAGACTGTATTTGACCATACTCATGATGGTCGTTCCAATGGATCCAACTCTTGTGCAAGCTCAAACAAGGTAATTGCTCGGTGGCTGCTTACGCTTTGGAGTTCCATACTCTAGCCGCAGGTAGTTGGTGGAACGAACAATCCCAAAGAGTTTACCAAATTAGCATGCAAACACAACAACTTGACTTTAGATCAGCTCATAGACTTACCAATACGCCTAGACCAACATCTACTCAAGCGCCCAAAAGCACAAAAGTTCTCCCCGCATTCACGTGATCTCCAGTTTCAGCTCCGGTTCCAGTGCTCACTCCAACTCCCGCGCAAGTGCTAGTTCCAGTTCCAGTTCATCTCCGGAGCCCATGCAGTGTGACACCTCCAGACTGTCCAGGGAGGAGAAGCTCCGTCGGCTTTATGGAGGTCTGTGCATGTATTGTGGCGCTGCTGGTCACGTTTTGTGTGACTGTCAGGCTCGTCCGCACAGACCTCAGACGCCAACCCTGGGAAAGCATGTGAATTCAAGCATGGATTCATCCATTCCGACGTGGTTGCGTGACTACAATTCCCTGTAAAAGATCTTCAGACATCCCTAAAGGTCGCTGTGTCGGATAGAAGACCTGTTGGAGTGGATCATATCACCTTTGTCACTGAACCTTTTACTAGAGACTAGTTTTCCTCCGCAACATAATGGGGAGTTTCAACGTTGCTTACATTGACGACATACAAATCTACTCCCCTGATTATGATACAAATGTGCAACAAGTACGTTCTCTGTCGATTACTTGATGATAACCTTTCATCTCCAAAGAGTGGCCTTCCTATGTTATCAGTTCTCAGTGTTCTGATGGATGATCAGAAAGTAGAAGCCGTTGTCAATTTGGCCTACCCCCACATGCTTCAAAGAGCTTCAAAGATTCTTAAACATCCGCACCCATTCTGAGGCATCCAGATCCATCTGAGCCTTTTGTGTTGGAAGGTGGATGCTTTGAAGACTGGAGTCGGTGCAGTCCTATCACAGTGCAGTGGAGAGCCCAAGAAATTACACCCCGTTACGTTTTACACTCATAAACTAAGCCCTGCCGAAAGAAATTATGGTATATGAGACAGAGAACTTCTTGTAGTCAAACTTGCCCTAGAGGAATGGCACCACTGGCTAGAGGGAACTGCTCACCTTTTTTTTGGTCCTCACCGACCATAAAAATCTAGAATATCTGTATTCTGCTAAGTGTCTTAACCCTAGACAAGCTAGATGGTCCCTGTTTTTCTCCTGTTTCCAGTTTAGCATTTCATACCGCCCTGGCTCCCGTAATTCTAATGTCAATGACCCTATCATGTATTCATCAGAGTGACCAGGAGAGAGAGAGCCTGTCTGAGCCTGAGCCCATTCTCCCTTCCACTGTACAAATGTCATTCATTCATTGGTAAATTGATGAAGAGATAGCCAAAGCTTTAGAAAGAGCTGATGTCCCTGATCACCATCCACCCAACAAGCTCTTTGTGCCCGATCAATTTTGGGATTGTTTGATAACATGGGCTCATTCCTCTCTCAGCTTGGTTATCCTGGTGAGTTTAGCATGCAACAACTTCTTAATCGCTATTGGTGGGAAACTCTCAAGCAAGATATACATAGATTTGTAGCATCATGTTCAATATGCGCACAAAAGAAAGCCCCTAAAACACTTCCAGCTGGTAAACACATGCCTCTGCCTGTACCTGAACGAACCTGGTCTCACATTGCAATTGATTTTGTTACTACTTTCCCCTTTTCTGAGGGTTTTACCACTATTCTCGCTATAGTTGATCACTTGTCAGGAGGAACAGATTCATTCCTTTCTATTCCCTACCCGAGCATCTGGTTCCGTCTGCCCCCGTTACACCAACAATAAAGACAGCTTTGTGCAAGTTTTATACTGATAAGCGCAGTAATGCACAGAAAGCCTCAGCACCCCCTGAAAGCCTCAGCACCCCCTGCTTCAGTTCAGTTGGGTAAATTGTTTGACCCATTTGTATTTTTCATCTTTTTAATCATTTATGAATATCTTGGCAAAGAGCGAGTTCTCGGCTGTTTCGATATGGTCCAGTCTGGCCCCGTTATAAGCTAAAGGCAGTGGCTGTGCCAAAAACATGACTACACTAACTACAGTGAAAGTGTAATCTTGTAAGGCCCCAAGGCTATGGCGCGGGATAGGACTAGCTAGTGTATATATTGCAAACGTAGTTGGGTGCTACATTAGGTGCCTCCCGGGACGCAATCACTTGTAATGGGGATAGCCCTCGACATCCACCCCCGGGAC